GAATGCCTCGATTCCAGTAAAATGGGTATCCGGTTCACTACACTCACCATACGAAACACAGCAGCATTAAGCTGCTATTTTACGCTGGTATTCTGTGAGAGCGTGGTCCTTCCCCGGTCGAAATGACCCATTCATACTACAACCATAATATAGCTGCGGCGTGGCTCTACTACGTATATTTATATTTCAAAGTTTCAGAATATATGTCAGTATAGAAAAAAACTGTGGTGGGCAATCCACCTACCAAGCGTGCCACGCTTGGTAGGTGGGTTGGTACGTGGCTATGATACAGTCTATACATATTAGGCAATCTATACAAGGTTATTTTGCAATACCGGCCAAATTTGCAAAAAGGGTTCACTATAAGTTATATAGGTAAATGATGAAGAAAAATTAATCTCAAACATTCTGTCCTTTTTATGTTTTTAATTCAAAATGCGTGGTATATTACCACGCATTATTTTAGCTGATTTTACTGCGCACGCACCACATTCATCAGACATTTGCAGTAAACTCCATATTGTAAGCATTGAATTTACGCATTAATTCGCATATTTCGGAAGGAATTCTTTTGTGAAACATATTCTAGTTTACATCAGAGGTACCACTAAAATGTTGACTTTTTTATATAGGATAAGGGTGACAAACGAGCGAAGCAAATAAAGGTAAGTGGTTGCTGCGGTCCATAGACATCTACATCTATCCTGAGACAAATGAGATGTGAGGACTAAGATAGAATGCCTCGTTTTCACTAAAAAGGGTCTCCGGGTCTCTACACTCACCATACGAAACACAACATTAAGCTGCTATTTTACGCTGATATTCTGTAAGAGCGTGGTCCTTCCCCGATCGAGCCGACCTATTCGTGCTACAACTATACTACTAATTTTATACGTAGTAGAGCCATGCTACAGTTGTATTAGTAGTTCTTAGTCCTCACAGGTGACAACGCATCTGCATTTTGATTCGTAATCGAGGATAGATGTAGATGTCTATGGGCCACAGCAACCACTTACCATCAGGTGTACTGTGTGCTCGTTTGTCACGCTATCCTATAAAAATAAAATATAACTGCAACATGGCTGTACCACGTAAGAATACTTCGTATTGCAAAGTAAAGTAAAGTAAAAGTTACAGCCTATATACGTCCCACAGCTGGGCACAGGCCTCCCCTCATTTCTGAGAGGGTTTTAGGGCAAGGAAGTGTCCGCCGCGCTGCCCCAATGCGTGTTGGCGAACTTCACATGTCTTCGAAACATATATTTTTTTCTTATTCGTCAGACATGCAGGTTTCCTCACGATGTTTTACTTCACCGCCTAGCACGTGGTAAATCAGCACTTAAAATTGCAATTAACAATTTCATTGGTGCCGGCGCGAAACGAACCCGGGTTACTCGCGTTCTGTTATATTTACAGCGAGCGTTAACCATCTGAGCTACCACGGCTATTGCAAAGTAATGTATTGTAATTAAAACAGTTTGTTGGCACTTTATTACTATATTATTTGTATATTAATTTGAATTTAATAATATTTTATATTTAAATGTAGAAAGAGGCGTAGAGCTTGCAATTGTTTGCCAACCTGCCGCGCCGGCCAAGTGTGGCAGCTAAATTCTCCCTATGAGGCAATCTATGGGGGAAGCCTATATTCATCAGAGGACTATTCTAGGCCGAAATGGAATGGAATATATATACGTAAACTTCTTTTTGTAAGGCTGTGCTTTTTTAAAAGTGTTCATGGGAGGGGAATAAATAGGTACTATACCTACTGATAGGCTGCAAGAGCAATTTACCATTACGTGGACTTGCACGTGTTTGCACACATATAAAAAAAAATTCCTATGGTTTCATCTTTATCCGGTAGGTCGTTGCTTATCCCTTTTTTTTGCCAGAAACTTCCGCATCAGGGCACAACGGAAAAGGGTATTTCAAACAGGATTAAAACCGGAGATCTTCTATCGAGATAAACGATTCGATTAGTTGAGCTTCGTTTAATTAATCGATTCTGTGGTTATTTGTTCTGACGTGTATAATATTAACATGACTTTTTTAAGGTTTTAAGGTGACGATGTTTTTGAAGTGAAATCTTTAGAATCGATGCAACAATAAAAAGAGACAAATATATTATACATGTATAGGATTTAGCCTGCGAGAGAATGAGATACAATGTTATATTAAATTAGTTGTGTTTAGGTCACCTAGCGTCTCTTTACTTAACCCAAAATATTATATAGATGGCGCTATTGCAAAGCAATTTTAATCGAAAAAGTATATTAATCTAAAAATAAGGATTGTAACATTTATATAAATAAAAAAAGATGTTTGTATATATGAAATCGTTTAACTCAAAATCTATTTAAACGATCACCATGAAATATATATTGTGTGATTTATTTTTACCGTCTGGTAAAAAAGGGTATATTAGGTGAACGAAACAGAAGCCTATGGCACTGATATTTTACAAATTTTTTTGCTTTTTCATTAACACATTGTGAAATTGAACTATCTATAAATACCACTAATTTGAAATAAACTTTCGGTACTAATAAAAAATAAATACAAAAATGTTGAACTAAATAAATAAATCAATTAAAAACTATGAAAATTAAAATAATACGCACCAGTAGTATTCATTGATAGATCAATTTCATATGTTAGTGTAAAAAAATTGTAAAATATCAGTGCCATAGGTTTCTATTCTGTTCACCTGTTACATCCTACTTATGTTTTTACAGACGCAAAAAAATCACCCAGTATATATTTCATTGGAGAAAGCTTATATAAACTAAACAAAGTTTTGATTTCATTTGCTTTTGTTTTTCAATCAAGGGCGGCAATTAATAAATTAAATTGCATACGCTAAAATAAAAATGTGTCTGAACACAACCTATGATATTTATTAACTGGCAGGACAACTTCTGCCGGGGTCAGTTAGTATTTTATATAATATTTGCTATTTATTTTATATTTTATGCCATAGGTATATGAAAATTATTATATTAAATAAATTATTTACCGTGAAATTTATATTGTTTTTAAAGGTTTCACTTCTACCGCGAGTGAACTGCACACATTTTTTTGTATAACTTAACTAATAAAATAAATTATCCCAACACTAGAAATTTCAAGGCTTACGTTCATAAATTGCACAAAGAGCGACACCCAGTCACGGAACAAACATATGTGGGCTATAAAATACTTGCACCGTGCGGTAGCCGAACCCGTAGCCTTCAGCGCAGCGCTTACGTTGCCACTGAACTACCGGATCGTTTTATGTTTTTAAGATAGTCACTGCGTCTGTCAGTGAATTAATTTTAAGTTCTAATCTACTCCAATGAAATTTTAATTGCAATTTTAAGTACAACTTTACATACTTTAGGCTAGGTAAGTCGGTTAAGATGACACGTCATGTGTGGTCTAATTTACAAAAACAAGTTATTCTTTCCAGTTAGCGGAATGATTGCAACGCGTTTAACAATTACGTTTTGAAGCATCAGCGAAATGGCAGCTGACTGCTATAAATAAAATGGCGTCCTGCGAATACCATGAATCATATCGCACACTAGTAATGCGAATGCAATGCAGGTTAATATCGATAAACGTTCGAACACCACGAATCATATCGCACACTAATGATGAGAATACAATAAAGGTAAACATTGATAAAAGTTATGAGTGTTGTGACTGTCTAAAAGCGTCCAAAAAGAACTATCCTATCTCTCAAGTTGGGCCAAACTGCACACGGTGTGCAAATTTGATTAAAATCGGTTAAGTAGTTTAGCAGTCCATCGCGGACAAACACGTAATTTATATATATTAAGATGTACAACCTATTTAATAAAAATGCGTCATTTTAATCGGTTTGCCAGTTTCCGAGAAATCAATAAACATAGATAAACATACGCGTCTAATATAGAACATACTCATTTCTTGAAATAGGTTAAAAATTCTGTTTTATGTAATCTCTCCGGATTTGCAGAGATGATTTGTGGATCTCGATAACAGCGCCACTTTCCGGGTCCAATAGAGTTTTAAACTATCCCATTCAAACAAAAAAAATCATCAAAATCTATCGAGCCACGAGCTTTTGTGAGACTAACGGACCGCAATTGATTTTTATATATAGCGAATCCTTGTCAAGCTCATATTATTCTATTCATAAAACGCTTTCAAATTTGAATTCAAATATCGATAATAACGCAGGCTGCAACTAGCGACAGTGCGAAGCCTTACTTACAAGTAAATGTCACCTAAGCAACCTCATGGTACCTACCGCGTAAGCAAGCACTCGCTCGTTTTCATCACAGGTGTCTGATATTTTGCTAAAGTATATAGACATGTGTCAATCGTGAAGGATTCGTTAATTTGACCCGTGTTCAGTATCCCTCTGTCGCCTCTCACCTCTTACGTCACCCACGGGATGATATGGCATAGTAAATATTCTTACACCGCCATTACAGGGTTTATTAGAAAATAGAGTGGGAAAACTTTGAGAAATTTCTCACATTTGGTGTTGTCGATTTTGGGTGCAAATTTGAACCGCTTATCGCTTTTAAATAATACTAATTTTTTACGGATTTTATCGCATATATATTCGACTTTTCAAATATCCGACGTTTCGAGCACTTTACAGCACCCTTGGTCACGGGTTCACGGGGGAGACTGAGTAAAAAATTAAATATATGCGATAAAATCCGTAAAAACTAGTATTATTTAAATGTAAAATAAGCGTAATATAAGAAATCCTTATGTTTATCGCTTTTAGAAAAAGGAACCGCGCGTAACGACAGCAAGTAGACCTTCGAAGGAATAGCAACGGACCGTCGACAAAAAAACAAAGCGAAAGTAGGTCCTTTGAATTTTGAAATTATTCTGACTATTAAGGGTTAAACATTTAAAATATTAGTAGTATAATATTTATCCAGTCGCATTAGTTTTTCCTGTAAAGATTGACGTTTATAAAATTGTGTAGGAAATAAAATTTAAAAAAACAAACTTACCTATCTTTGTGCTCGGCCTGTCTGTCCCTTTGCCGCCTATTTTTAAACCAATTTGAGACCTGTGGTAAAAAAAAATGTTATGCATAAGTAAATACTACTATTACTAAGTTAGAATAGTTTAAGCCGGCAGGCAAAACATGTTGGCCGGGCCTCGGCCAACGCAAGCTTAGGCAAATTGATACAAGGCTGTGGTGAAGTGCTACATTCTACATATTGGCCAAATTTGAACGAGTAATCATACCTGACATGGCCAACTAACACGTGGACACGAATTGCCTAGGTGCAATTGATTTCCCCCCCGAACGGGTTCCCGCCTTGTCGTGGCGGGGGGCTTAGTAGCCGTGGCTTGGTCTCCCACGGTGAACAAAGAGGAACCCACGTGGCTGGCCCGAGGTGAAGAGCCGGCCTGAGGTGGCCACTCCGAGTGGGCTTGGGGAGCCCACTTCGGATGTGTGCTGGTGGACTGCAGCGAGTGGGGACTCCGCACCCTCTACCGCTGCAGCCCAGGTGGAGTCGCGGAGGAAGAGGAGTGTTGGTAGGGCGATGTGCCACTCGCCCTATCCTCCGCGACTCAAACGGGGCCGCACCGTTGATGCGGTGGCGATGGGGCTGCGGGGGGAGAGGATTGCGAGGCGCCGCTCTCCCTATCCTCCGCAGCCGGATCTTGGTTGGCGGCGGAGCCATAGACCAGATCCGCCGCTGGGGTCGGGAAGGCTAGTACTTCTAAGTTCTCGTTCTTCCTGGCCCCATGGCCTTCGCGCATCGGACGCGGGGGCGTCTGTTGCGCAGATGTAATTGGAGGCCGTGGAGGAAGGCGTGCCATGTGTTCTGGTGCGCCTTACTTGGGAAGGAGAACGGGGAGGAATATTCCTCTCCCGAGGAGGTGCTGCCATGGGGCGGCAGTCGCTGGTAGGGCCGCGGAAGTGTGCGAAAGCGTTCCCGTAGCCCTGCCAATATGCGACGAAGGTGGAACACCATGGGGTTTTAGTCGGTGCGAGTCCGACATAACCCGTCCTTGCCCCCGCGAGGCGAGTATGCGTAGGCATTTCCCCATGTTAAAAAAAAGGTGCAATTGATTTGTGCAGAAAAACCGACACTGTTTTGAAGTGAGACGAGTCGTGGCGAGTGATCTCGAGTGGTGGTAATACACGCCAGAAGTACCTACCACAAATGGACTGTCTATACGTTGGTTCTCGCCTTCGCTCGGCCAACATGCGTTTTGTTTGTGCATATAGCCAGCTTTACTAAAATGCACAAACAAAACCTGTCTAAAAAGGGTAAGCATAATTTAAGTGAACACATGGTGGACCCATGGGAATGATGCGGTCGCTTCCAAGCTATTTCTCAAATAGTTTGTACAATCTACTTAATAAATTAATTTAGGAAAGACACCTATCTTTCCTAGACTAAAGAGCACTCCCGTCCTCTCCAGGAAGACAAATCTCCTTTAGGGAGGGGGTCTAATGTTTTACATCTTTAGTATTATTGAATTCCTCAAAGTAACGCCTGATTCTATTATTTGTTCCTAAACTACCTGGGATATAGTATCTAGTATTCCGAATGTCCAATATAGTAGGATATGGAGGAGGAGATATAATATAGTAGGATACAACGTAGTAGGGCCAAAGTGCAGCTATATTATTGGTATGTTATTGTTATTAGTATGTATGGTTGTAGCACGAATGGGTCGGCTCGACCGGGAAAGGATCACGTTCTCACAGAATACCATCGTAAAATAGCAGCTTAATGCTGCTGTGTTTCGTATGGTGATTGTAGACAACCGGAGACCCTTTTTACAGAAACGAGGCATTCCATCTCAGTCCTCACGGGTGACAACGCATCTGCATTTAGATTCGTAATCGAGGATAGATGTAGATGTCTATGGGCCACAGCAACCACTTACCATCAGGTGGACTGTGTGCTCGTTTGTCACCCTTCTCCTATAAAAAAAATATTATAAAGTAGGATCGGCAAATTTAGTAAGTATTTTAATTCGAACTTCAACTCAGCTGCAAGCACCACTGCACTATGCAGTTCACAAAAGATACATCTGTCTACCTAGGACCAATACAGACGCGTCACGCTCGAGCGATCACTGTGTGGTTCGACGTAATATAATACTGTGCTTCCTCAAACTTAAAATATATTAAATTACAGATTTTTTATTATTATTTAATGAGTACGTGCCTTAGTCGTCAGTACACTTTTATGAGGTAAATACGTCTTTAAATTCGCTTCTATAGTTGGAGGCAATTTAGAAAACTGATGATAGCAAATTCGAGGTATACAGCGGTATCTATCATCTACCTCCAAAGTTTAAGTACACCCACTCGATAACGATTAAAGAATTTGTTCGAAATATTTACGATTACTCGATGAAGTAAGTCAGATGTGTCTAGGGTTACCTGATGAAAGGAATTTCATTTACTATTTTAGCCCTCAGTTAGGGAAAATTTGAAAATATTAGGAATTTATAAATAGAAAGAAAAAACATAAGAAACACAAATTAAAATATTTCTTAAATAGTTTAATAACTAATAATAATAATAAACTTTACTTTTTATGGCTAAATATTGCGCATGTCAAGCACATGCACGAGTTTTTTCTTATAATTAGGTAGATATTTTTGTTGCCTTTGAGTCACTGTCAAGAAATTTATTAAAAAGTTAGGGATTTTGCCAGAAAAACTCATTTTCAGATCCGGTAGTACTAAATAGGTCATGATATCACGGGAATGCTCCAAGCGAATAGAGTTGAAGGTGCACCGCTAGAGATCTAAAGAGGATGAAAAAGGCCACAAGAGGCTCTTACCATCCAGTCACGTATATTTCATTCAAAATGGGTTTAGTGCATTACAACGCCAACATCGTTACTAATACCTCAACAGAAAGCGCTGTTCAGCCAGTTGGGGAAGGAAAAGAGGTTGTGCAACAATAAACGAGTGGTCGTTGTACAAACACAGGAGCATTAAGCTGCTATTTCACACTGGTATTCTGTAAGAACATGGTCCACCCCGGTCGAGCCGACCCATTCGTGCTATAACCATAATATAGCTGCATAATGGCTCTATTACGTATATGGATTATGGAGTTAATTTTATACGCTGGGCTCTCCTCATTTAGGAGAGGGTTTTGGAGCAAAGAATAGTGTATCACATTGCGCTAGTGCGTGTTGGGAAACTTCACATAACCTTAACATATTATAATAACACAGTTTTTAAATATAGAAACCAAATTTTGATTACCTGAACGGTCGTTAAACCGGTAGTCTCTGCCAACTCCCGCTTCTCTCTCGGTGACGGGTACGGATTATGGAGATACCAATCTCGGAGGACTGATCTTGATTTTTCCTAAATAAAAATATTTATATTTATATCATACTTTTTTTCAAATCTGATAGTAAGAGGCTATTGTCATCGTTACATACAGCCGGTTAACCCTAGACCCTACAAAGTCACAGGAAAGTTAAATTGGTCTATTTTAGCACGTTTTAATTAACTCACTTTTTAGTTTGTTATGTAACGATTTTGTATCTTTTTTAACTTTTTTTAACTATTCTTAGCCACCGTTTAACTATAATCTGACAACTACCCACCTGATGGTAAGTGGTGTTTAAATCGCAGATGATGAAGTACGCTCACTTAAGGGGATATAGTAAGTCAGCTCAAATTCTAATTTCGTCCCCACTTGCCCGCGCGTCGTATGCTATGTACCGACATGTTTGTAATCACTAATACTGTAAGTAGAAAGGTCGTTAGACACTTATTTCATTAGTTTTATCATATTTATGCCTGTTTCTTAAAGCCAAGCTAGCTTCTTATTTTTATTACGGTTATTTCCATTTTAATTTTACGTTGTCCTGTTGCGTAATGTGTATTCTGATCGTAAGCGACACAACCTCCCGTTTCAAAGGCCGAAGCGAAGTGACCGGGCGGCAGGAATCACACTTCAAGAGGCCGATAGTTTAGGTAATTTCTTTTTACAGTGAAAATAATGGTATTTTAAAAAAAAGTAAATAACATAAGTACTGCTTTATAGTTAGTTCAGTTAGTATGCAAAGTTTCATGATCATATTTAAAGTATTTTATGAAAAACAGCGGTTTCTTTTGGAGGTAACTTTGGATTTTTTTTTATCGAGAAAATTTTACGAAATCGTGTTTTCGTCTAACATAATCCTTAACATTAATCCTCAACTTTACCATATATTTATTTCAAAATTAATGCTGCAATATTTTCGGCATAACGAAGGATCTTGCTAAGCCATTTGAGATTATATTTCCCCTTAACAAAAGCCTTGAAGACACCCAGATTGTAATCGGATTGATTTTAAACCAACTGTCTGGGTCTCTGGGGAGAGACTACAGCTGAGAGCTGGATGACAATGCAATATAAACTCTCTTTCTTGTCTGTCTGTTTGTTTGTCTGTTCGGTACAAATTTTGCAATTTTTTTTATTAGAATAAGGATAAAAAACGAGCACACAGGCCACCTGATAGTAAATGGATGCTGTGGCTCATAGAAGTTTACATTTATCCTCCACTAAGAATCGAAACGCAGATGCGTTGTCACCCCTGAAGATTAAGATGGAATCTCTCGTTTCCAGTAAAAAAAGGTCTCCGGATCTCTACATTAAAAAGCTATTTTACGCTGATATTTTGTGAGGGCGTGGTCCTGGTTCTGCCCCAGTCGAGCCGACCCATTCGTGCTACAACCATAATATAGCTGCGACGTGACTCTACCACGTATAAATTTTAAACTAACTTGCCGATGAGTTTCTTTGACAAGTCACTTTGATGAGTTACTTTAATAAGTTACTTGAAACTTTTAATATAGCTTAGAAACATGAAAAGCACATAAAACATACATAGATGGATAAAGATAACATAGAAGAAAACATGGTAAAAATGGTTGTCATTTTGAATTATAATTATTTCTTTGCCATTTTTTTTAAATTTTTATAACAGTGACAAACGAGCACACAGTTTTCGTGATGGTAAGTGTACCATAACCCATATAATATACTTTTAGTAACGTTCTCCAGACCACATTCCGGTCACAGCCGCCAGTCTCAATAGCTAGACTATCCTACTAAAGACAGGATTACAGCACCCAGGACTTGCGCAAGCACAGGTGCACTCTCTATTCCCTCACTCTCATAGTCTGATGGGACGGCAAGCCGACACAACCGGAGGGAGAAAATGTATGGTGCAGAAACTATGACTATGGGACAGAGATATCGACTGTCTGCGTGTTTCATCAGTTTGTCACCCCATCTAGTGCGGGATCGCCCAAAACTGCGCTTTTCAGTACGACAGATTGCAAAGTTCATGGTTATATAATTAATGGGGGTTTATGTCCAGCACTGGACAAGATTAGACAGTGATAATGATGTTGATATTACCTTGAAGCAATAAGACGTTTCCTCTCCATCCCAAATGGTCCTGGGCAGGGGGAATTTGCGCCGCACCCTGTATTTGCCAACAGCACCCAAAGGCCTCCCTCGAAGCCTCTCTGCCTCCATATAGTGTGCTAAGTAAAAACGTTCCTATTAGATATCTGTTTCGTATTTTTTAAACGTTAAATTGATAAAGTTCCGAAACGTTGCCAGTATAAATGACGTCATTAATTGACGTTATAACCGCCATATTCGGTATAGTGAATCGCATGCATGGCGTCGATTTATGACGTCATTTTCATTGGCCAGTATACTGGGTTCTATCTGGGAACATACCCAAAGAGCTCACCGTCCAATAAGGGCTAATATACACTCACCAGATGTCACTATTTGTAACTAATAAGGTGAAATTATTTGTTACGCAGATCACATAGTGTCATCATTATTGAAAAGAAACATTGAAAAGTTCTAGTGTACTCGTATGTGCCGCAGTAAGATGGTTGAATCCGTGATAAATATATCCCTAGGGCTATAGCTATATATCGGAACATAACCACTACGATACTAGTACAATCTAGTAATATAACTATCTTACTAGACTAATTTAGGGAAATAGTTATGTTTATGTTGACCAAGAATGGTAGTCAAATCTTTTTGACTTATAGTTTTGAATTTTTTTATTTAAAAAATTCATCATCATCATCATCATCATTACAGCCCTTCACAAGTCCACTGCTGAATATAGACCTTCCCCAAGGTATGCCACAAAGCACGGTCTTGAGCTACCTGCATCTTTCGTCTTCCTGCATGTCTTAATAGATTGTCACACTATCTAGTGGGGGGCTGCTCTGGGGTCATCACTCCATCTAGTGGAAGGTCGCCCAAAACATCATCTACCGGTACGAGGCTGCCACTCGAGAACCTTTTTTCCCCAAAGGTTGTCGGTTCTTCGGTATATGGCAGGCCCGTTGCCACTTCACGGTTTAAAAAGTTCAATTCTTTAAAATGTTATATTTTATTTCATTACAATGTACGCGGCTTTAAGGTGGCCCAAGTGCCACCCCGGCCGCACCTTAAACCTGCTGTCATAAAATTGACATGAACAACAATACAACAGCCTCTGAAGATCTAATGTCAATGTCGGGAAATTAGTTGGAAAATTCTTTTTTTTAATTTTTTTCAGCAGATCTTTTTAAGCTGCCTATAGATTTTTCTCTTTAGTCCTGAATAGTTTTTCCGTTGTTACAGTTATTGCACAACAGTTGCGATCAGTAACCTTCACCACATGACGATCCTCCACAAATAACATGAACATTTTCTACACGAGTGTGTCCTGTACATTCAGTTTACAATTACAATTATTTCTCTAGATTAATCTAGTAAGATAGTTAGTAACCGCTGTCATATAACTGTATTACCGTATATAGCTATATACCCAGAGATATAACTATATCAAGGCTTTAACCATCTCACTGCGACACATGTACATATTTACACAAAACAATACGAGCATGATCTAAACTATGTTAGTAGTAGTTATAGTAATATAACTATCTTATTAGATTAATTTCGGGAAAGGTGGCTTAATTATTTTTAAATCTTCTACTATTAGCGATATTCGTAGTTTGGTTTACCCGTTTCTAATGAAGCTAATAAATATAACTACTATTTCAGAAATAATTACTAATCTCTATACTTTTCTAACAAATACCTCACCAGTTATGAAATCTGTCAAATACTTCACTTATTTTTTTTAATAGAATAAGGGTGACAAACGAGCACTCAGTCCACCTGATGGTAAGTGGATGCTGTGGCCCATAGACATCTACATTTATCCTAGATTGAGAATCAAACCGCAGATGCGTTGTCTGTCACTCCTAAGTACTAAGATGGAATGCCTCGTTTCCAGTAAACAAGGCTCTTCGGATCTTTACAGTGACCATATGAAACACAGTAGTATTAAGTTATTTTACGCCGGCATTTTGTGAAAGCGTGGTCCTCCCCTGGTCGAGCCGACCCATTCGTGCTACAATCATAATATAGCTGCAACGTGGCTCTACCACGTATACTCATTTCTATTATAAGTGGCACCGCTTTGATGACAGGAAATGTCGTGGATGGGCTCATTGATGGTAGAAATAAACGAGACTTCATATGAGTTACCATCTTTAGAGATCAAGATAAAAATACCTCAAAACCTGTAATATATACTGGTACAGGCTCTCTTATATTTTAAGCCAGAATCAGCGAGAACACCAGAGATATATTTTTACCGATTTCCAAAAGGGAGGTGGTTCTAGACTTCTAGATTCGACTGTATTTTTTAAATTTATGTTATTGCGGTTTTGAAATCTTTTCATTGAAAAGATTACTATTGAACGTGTGGTGGCGGTGTAAGAATATCCCCTACACCATATAGTCCCGCGGTTGCTGTAAGAGGCAAATAACTTCATTGTCCTACATGGATGCCAGGCGAGGCAAATATAACTAACTATGGCAAATATGGCCCTATGGGGGAGGCCCACTATATTCAGCAGTAGACTTTAATACGATGTAATCGTATTAAAGTCTACTGCTGAATATAGTGGGAATCGATGAAAGAATTAATAATTATAGTACGTGAGGGTAATATGATTATCCGGTTAATATAGTCAATTTCTTATAACTCAAAAACTACAGCCTTGTTTGCATAGATGGTTCTGTGATACGATGCTCTTCATCAGTCAATCAAATAATAAAAAGGGTCAAAAGGGCGCTGCTTTATCGACGCCATTTTAACAGTCGATATTATAGTAAATATTTTAGTCGATTTTAGTATTGTGTAATATAGTTAGTTATTTTTTAATTTGATTTTTCGAAGTGTTCCTAATTATTGCCAAAGCTTGTTTGCTATTTTTTTAATTAATATATTAGTTATATTAAACGACTTTGTGTTTTTGACTCTGTCCTTAGCATAATTTTGGTTTTAGAAGGTGGCAAAACTTAACCAATGACCATATCACCCTCACGTAGCTTACTAGATAATACATCTGGGGTGGTCTTATTTAAATTAGAATGTAATGGGGGGGAGCTTCCTTTGAGGGTGAAAAACTAGGACATGTAATTTTTATATATTTAATACATGCATAAACACTCACGCTTGTCACCCAGAGAGGTAGGCAGAGACTACAGACTTCCATTTTGCACTATCCTGACATACCTCTCTCGCCTCCTCCACACTCATTTACCTACGCATACATGCTTGTCGGTTAAGGGTACTCCTAATTTGGTCCATTTTTAATATATCGCCAATTTGGTCGATAAACTTTCGCCTATGACGTCCCTTTCCGACTCTTCCATTCACTTCTGCAACATATATGTATTTACTTTGTCACTTTTTCCTCATTCATCCTTTCTTAATCCTGGTCACCGCCTCATCTTGCAAACCACACTCTTCTTTTATCACACAGTTTCTCACCCTGTCACTCAGATTCAGCCCTAACATACTAACGACCGCATTTCTACTGCATTTATTCTACTCTCGTGCTTCTTCTGCCACAACCAACTTTCAATATCATACGTTAAAGTAGGGATTAATACAGCATTGTGAATTGCCGAACATGCCTTTTTTGACACATACTTAACGTGACCAGACGTCCCGTTTTGAACGGGACTGTCCTTTTTTATGGTTACGAGTCCCGGTGTCCCTGAAATGAACTCTGGGACGCAAAATTGTCCCGTTTTCTGAAACCGCGCGAAAATTTGTGTTGTTGTTACTAAAAAACTTTTTGAAGATACCACATCCGAATTATGGCTTTATTTTTTACACGTTCAGTCAGCAAGTTTTCATCAACCTGTATTGAAACTTGAAGTTCAAACTGTATCGGCTATTGAAGCTGCAAAAAAAAATCAATCAACTAAAACACAATTTGACTCAGAAACAGACCAATCAGTTTCTTCCATTTACGGTCCGTCAATTAAAAGTGAAATCGAAAGATATTGTTACTGACATACATGAAGAATTGATGAAAAGGGCGGCTACAAAATTTTATGAAACAAGCCGTGATTATCTTTAGCAGTGGACTTCCTTTCTTGACAAAGAAATGGAGATATTTTATTGGGCAGATTTAAAAAAAGTTTCCCGCATGGGAAGACGTTCAAAAATCTCTGGATGTATTAATTGAGAAGGAATATATTGAATGTAATAAAGACGCAGAAGTTTTTGACGAACTACAAATTTCAGTTCTAAAGGCGATATTGATAATTTAGGTGAATATAAAAAAAGGTGTATATATATATATATATATATATATATATATATATATATATATATATATATATGATTTTTTCCGAATAAATAACTTTAAAAAAGTGTTTTTTTTTACTGACTGACTACTGACTCTGACTCTACTTGTTAATTGACCTAAATAAACCCATGTCCCGTTTTGAGTCAAAAAATAAATGGTCACGTTACACATACTATATCTTCACAATAGATTGTACCCCATTTACTTTATTTTCTATTCCCTATACCTTTAAATTAATATATTTATAGTGTCATTCTACTTTAGTCCTCAGAGGTGAAAAGGCATCTGCAACTCTCTTTTGAAATTGGCTGCAGATGTCCATCTGCTGCATGTTCTATATGTTCGTAATGCAAAAATTTTATAAGAAAATAATCCTAAAAGACTCTCACCTTTCAACCAAAGATTCTGTAGCTTTGTGTGGTTGTGCGGGCTGAACGTGTGTGACTCTAGAAGCCTGTACAGCTCCTTAAAGTTCCCTCTGTGGAAGGCGACCATGGCCTTTGCCTTCAGGACGGACTCGTGAGCGTGGAGTCTCTCGCACGCCGGCAGCGACCAGAGGAACCGGCCCAGGCGCTCGATGTTGCCCGCTTGCTGGAGGACCTGGGATGAGAGACTGTATCAGTAATGATATAACGTGGTAGTGGAAAGAAATGGGGAGATCTGCCGCCGTGCAAAGTGTTCCACCCAGGGAGCCGCCAACGATCCGTGTGATAGTTCAGATTTTTTTTTTGCGCCCGAAGCAAATATGTGCAACCCTCCGGAAAGCGGGGGAGGGAGGCGGTGAATGCTCATAGCATACCACGCAGCCGACTGCGTGGTTATGTGGAGACTTTTACCCACTAAACACCGCCTTTTAGGAATTGGCTTAACGATCTGACTAGAGATCTCTAAGCCGTATACGAACGCGACCCTCCTTGGTAGAAAGGAGGGCGCAGATAGTTCGGATATTATACTGTTTTACTTCGGAACTTTGATAGCGCGATTTAGGCTTCGATGTATTTCGCCTGTAGCGCGACGACAGCGCTGCCACTATAAAATATGTATATCTATAAATGTATTATACTGCCAAACAGTGTCAGCATAAGAGAATCCTTTACGCCATATTATCCTATGGGTGTAATGAGAAGAGACAGAGGAAATGAAGCAGAATGTTCTTGGTAAAAACTCAACATAATAAAATAATGCGATTATAAAACCGGCCAGTTAGCGTGGCGGATTGTTATACGCGGTAGAGTCACGTTGCAGCTGTATTATGATTGTAGCACGAATGGGTCCGACGAAGGACCACGCTCTCACAGAATACTAGCGTAAAATAACAGCTTAATACTGCTATATTCATATGGTGAGTGTAGAGATTCGGAGACCCTTTTTTACTGGAAACAAGGCATTCCGTCTTAGTCCTCAGGTGTGACCACGCATCTGCGTTTTGATTCTTAATTCGAGGATAAAAGTAGATGTCTATGGGCCACAACATTCACTTACCGTCAGGTGGACTGTGTGCTCCTTTGTCACCCTTATTCTATGAAAATAGGTATAGAAAATATCTCTCCTATGAGATAATCTATGGGGGAGGCCTATGCATTAAACTTTCGGTAAGTAGTAATAAAAAAAATAAAACAAAAACTAATAATTTAATTTGTCAAAAGCTCAGCTTAAACCATAAATTTCTTCGTACGCAAGCAACCCAGTTTCGGACACCGCCGGTACCAGCAATAATATAAAAATAAATCTATAGCAGTTTAATGCTACTGTGTTTCGTATGGTGAGTGTAGATAACCGGAGACCCTTTTTACTGGAAACTAGGTATTCTATCTTGGTCCTCAGTGGTGACAACACATCTGCATTTTGGTTCTAAATATGATGACAGATGATACTAAGTACATTTGCCATAATTGCCACGCTTGGCAAGCGGGATGGCATCTCCAGTTTTTTTGTTTTTGGTCTTTAATAGGAAGATGCTGCCATCCATCTCCTGATTGGTTTCTCTCTGTTGTCTGTTACGACACCCACGGGATGATATAGGGTTGCGAATATTCGTATACCGCCACTACATGGTAAAGCGGTGTAAAAAACGACGGGTTGCACTTCGGGAGTGCCGGCAGAAGTGAAAACTAGAATATTAACGTTGTGCATTTTTGATATTTTGGAATGATTAGGGAATAATTTTGCACGAATTGCTTTAATTATCACACACGAACATTCGCACAAGCGCCCTGCGCCGCCTAAATGAAACTGCAGGCGCAGGCATAAAACATTTTCGCCGCGCCGTAGAAAGAGAGGGGGATACTTCCTCTCCTACGCCGCGCCGGCTGTCTCTCTCTCACCATCCATCTTATGCATTTTCGATCAGGTCACGTGTCCTGAGGCGAGTTTAACATTTTTTACCCATTACAAAAAAAGTGTACAACGCCGCTAAAGAAGTTTTCACTTCATAAACTTATTTATTGATTAACGTTCCGCTCGCTAACAAATTCTTGAGGTTAGCAACAAATTGATATTTATCCAATCGCTTTGTTAGTTGATTTCTCTACAAAAATACTAAAAGTGCGGGGGGTGATAAATACGTTAATCTTTTCATCAGAAGCGAACCACACTTATACATGGAACCCTCTGTATAACGAAAGATTTCCGTATAATGGTTGAATAATTCATTCAAAAATATTAAACCAAGGCTTAAATATCAAGCAGCGATGTCAGGACAAGCTTAGAACAATATTTAGGAAATGCATTTTTGTTCACTGCCTACACATCCCTTTCGGCATCGCCAGCTGAACTCAAACGACAAATCACTACGCGCGGGGCTGGTTCGGTTCGGCTGCAGGACCTGGCTGGCGCTTAACGGAGATACCAGTTTCTTTTCTTTTATGTGATAAGGTTGACAAACGGGCACACACTCCACAGATGGTAAATAGTTATTGTGGCCCATAGACATTTACATTTATCTGAGATGCCTTGTTACCTGTGGGAGACTATGCCTCGTTTCTACTAAAAGGGTCCTCGGCGTTTTAAACTCACCATACAAAACACAGCAGCGTTAAGCTGCTCTTTTACGCTGGTATTTTGTGAGAGCGTGATCCTTCCCCGGCGTGCCGATCCATTCGTGCTACAACTATTGGTGCTACTATATAGCTGCATCATAGAACTACCACGTTCGCTGTGGCCATTTCGGATTTACGTTGCATTTTTACAATTTTCCTTTTCAGGGTACTGATGGTGAAGCACGTCTATATGTACCTCTGTCGCCTCTTACGGCACTCATTGCGTATTTTATTTCCACTTATCACTTGTCACTGCCTGTTCACACGCACTAAGCACTTGTCATTCGTCAGTTGCACTTGCCACTCGCACTTGTCACTTATCAAAACGTAAGCCTTCAATAGGCTATGCCTCAAGAATGAGCTGATTTAAATTTGATGACGATATTCTCGTTGTTAACTTGAAGTTGTGTTATTGCTAAGTCCACTCAATGGAGTGAAAAATTAAACTTTAAGTAAACACGGAAGACATCAAAGATATAAATATGGCTGATTAAATAGTTCTTATACTGGCTGAATAAATAATCAAACAAATCAATTGATATTGTAACATAATAAGTGATATACGCATACTGTTATACTATAGTTCATTAAGTATACGGGTGCTGATAGAATAACAGCATCGTAGATTCTCTGCAACACATGCTGAGTCAGAACCCATTAATTGTCCTTCTTACGAAATACATTTTGTATAAGGTAGTTTAACTTTTAAATGTTTTGTTACTTTTGGCCAATGAATAAATATTTTATCATTATTATTTGGGGTATCTATATAGTTTTCTCATCTGGTTGGGTTATATAAATATATAATTATAAATTAAAATGAAACGATAAATATATATAAAATATCAATAAAATAAAATAAATACAAAAATACATAAATAAATAAAAGCCCAACCAGATGGGAGCCCTCGGCAGGGGAGACAAAACGGCCGAGGGTTAGGGGGAAAGGGAAAGAAACCGGCGGACGATGCGGGCGGTATCGAGGAGCACCGCCTTCTGCATTTGAGCCCGGAGCGGTCCGTCACGGAGTCCCAGTCGCCTCAGATGACCCGAGAGGCTGACTGGGATTAGCCCATTCGCAGAGACGACTACAGGAATAATTTCGGCCGGCAGACCACCCCACATGTCGGTCACCTCGTGAGCCAGGTCCAGATATTTTGTTCGTTTATCTGTTTCGGCTTTCACGAGGTTCTCGTCATACGGAATGGTAATGTCGACCAAAAATATCCTTGACTGTGCCCGGTCCATCAGCACAATATCAGGCTTATTCGCAAGAATAGTCCTGTCTGTGATGATGGCCCGGTCCCAGTAGAGCCTAGCGCGGTCATTTTCGAGCACGGCTTCCGGTAAGTACTTGTAATACGGCAACTTCCGATCCACGAGACCGTATTTCAGAGCGAGCTCCTGGTGTAGAATTCTGGCTACTAGGTTGTGCCTGTGCAAGTACTCAGAGTTAGAAAGTGCCGAACAACCGGAGATGACATGCCTAAGTGACTGCCCGGGATGGCGACAAGCTCGACAGACGTCGATGGTGCCATCCTTTAGGATGTATCTCCGATAGTTGTTGGTCTTAATAACCTGATCCTGTATTGCACAGACAAAACCCTCGGTTTCCCCAAAAAGCTCACCGAAACGTAGCAAGTTGAGGGAGGCGACTGTATCTACGAAGGGATCATGTAGAACCCTGTAGTACCTCCCGTGGAGCTCCTTCTCCTTCCATACGATCTCCCGGTCGGAAATGCTAAGCACTGCTGGGTCTTGCCATTGCTCGTTGGCTGAGGATAGAGGGGTAAGTCCTTTATCACTAGAAATTACGTCATTATAGAATGGATCATCCGATCTCACCAGGAAGTAATTACGGAGGCTGCACACTTCGCGATTATGCATGGTGAGCGCGCTCAGGAAGCCACGCCCACCATGCTTTCGCGGCAAGTACAGCCTCATTACCGACGATCTCGGATGATGCATCCTATGGGACGTCATGGTAGTGCGGACTTTTCTATCCAGGGCGTTAAGTTCGGTCTGAGTCCACCTGAGTATGCCAAAGGTATACATGAGGACAGGCATGACCCATCCGTTATATGCGTGTGCCTTATTCACACTGGACAAAAGGCTGTTAAGCACTTTGGTCAAGCGTGCATAAAACGTGTCGCAAACTGACTGTTTCATACCAGCCTCATCGATACCGATGTTCTGTGACATACCCAGGTATCGGTATGTTTCAGCCTCGGAAACGGTCCTTATTATTATTATTATTATTAAAAATAAATAAACAATTTTTACATAATTTGATAGCAAAATAACAATAACAAAAACAAAGGGGTTTTAATTCCTTGATACGCTATGTCTTATTATCAAATACTACCTGAGAGTAATTATATTAAAAATATTATTTACTATTAAAAAAAATTGGTGTAAGATCGATGATGGGACAAGACGCCATTTCATTCTGCCCCAACCCCAAGTTCCAGCCAGTCGCTCCGGGAAGTAGGGCGTGTGCTGTGCGGCATTTAATAAAACAAGGTAATTTTTGTATATTTTCGTCCATCCGGTCTTTCCCTC